CCAGACCTAATGTTGTTCATTGTCATGCTTGCGGATCTAAGGTAACCTTGGAACTTGACATGGAGTGCTGTGTCTTCTCCAAGAGCCCACTTCTCTAAGTTGATTGTGATCTTTGGTTTAAGAATCTGAAAATATATCTTTAAGGTTTTTTTTGTTTCTTTCTAGGATTATCTGGGGGCTTGCATTGTCCTCACTGCATCGATTGCATCCATCAGTGGGTCTTCCAATTCTGGATTGGTGGGGTTAGGCCTCCTTTACGCACTTACAGTGAGTATGGATGACAGTGTCTTTTTCGATGCAGGGTTAGAGGTACTCTCTCTAGGTTTGATCAATTCTTATTCATGAATATTGGGGGCGTGGATTGAAATTTTTAATAAGATGACAGTCTTACAGATAATCATAGATTCAAACTCCATCTCTAGCATTTAGGCACCCTGGATTCATTTCTAATATTGTGAAACAAGTTTTGAGAGGTATTTGAATTCCATAATTGTTCTTCCATGGTTGTTCATATGAGGTTCTTCCTACAAAGCTGCTTGGGATTCCTGTCTCGAGTTGCTCGCAGTTCATTTGGGGACACAAAAATGAATGTGAATGTAAAAGAAATCAGCGCAAATAGGGGTTCATACAAATATTCATTGTGCAGAAAAAAAGAGGAGATAGTTTCACGAAACAATGGCATTTAAAGACCCTAGAAGAAAAGCTGACTTCATCCCAAGACATTCTCTCTGGCCTCCAATCTCCTGGGGCACTTGGGACATGGACCACACAATGTACGGAGTCATCTCATCCAGCACTATGCAGGGACTACAAAACTGATGCTTCATTTCAAATGTGTTCATTTTTATCCCCTGCCACAGATAACCAATTATTTAAACTGGGTGGTGAGGAACTTGGCTGACCTGGAGGTCCAGATGGGCGCAGTGAAGAAAGTGAATAGTTTCTTGACTATGGAGTCTGAAAACTACGAAGGCACCATGGGTATTGATCTGAATGTCATTGTTTTTGCTTCATTTCTATTTCTAAACAAATACTTCTTATGTGTCTGGACCCTTGTTCCTATACTCGTGTTCTACATGCTATTGGTTTGCCCTCCGTAGCAAGAGACTCCTTTTGCATCTGGCTTTGCATTGCTTGATGATGCACACCTGGAAAGATGAGAGGGCCTGGGAAGCCTTGAATAGTCACCAGATTCCCAAGAGATATTACTTAATAATATTAAAGACAATTATAAAATATTTGGGATATATTAAGTTAATTACTTACCTGAATTCTAAACTATTTATTCAATATGTCATGACCTTATTAACTTAGACACTATTAGGAAGAAACTTGGATCTTAAAATACTAACAGTTTTAGCTTTGCTAGAAAGGAACTACCAGGAAATCCATTGCCAAGGACAGACCAATCTTTCTGAAATACAAAACTCATACTTAAAAGGCGCTGCTTTGCCTAAATTGTTCTACATCTCTCCTGTTCTTCAAGGTCAATATCTAAATAATGATATGCTAAGACTTGGAGATCTTTCCTTAGTCAGCCCCCACCCACCTGCCTGGTCTCCTCTCTCTTTACACCTCCCCAACTTTTACTCTAGCCAAACCCGCATTCTATCTTCCCGACCCCCCTCCCCGCCCCTGTTCCTGTCTCTCCAATCCCCAGCTCTACCCCTTTAAAATTCATCTCTCAATTCTTAAGAAGTTGCCTTTGAAGAGACACCTGGCCTTTTGAAATCCTAGAATTGTTAGGCCCACCCCATCTGTGCTCACAGAGCACCTTGAGCATACCAACACCGGAAATTCTGGACAGTCCTGTAGCTGTTGATTGATGTATCTGCTTCCTCCAGGTCAGCGAGAACCTTAAGGCAGGGCTTCCATCCCACCCATTCCCAGCATCTTGCCCAGCACTTCCCACATTGTAGGCCTTCAGACGGATTAATGAACCAATCAACTCTCGGTCTGTAGAATTGAGTGATGGAACATGAAAAAGACATGACACTGGTTAATATTCATTAGAGAAGTGGAAAACTATTTTTAACGTTTCTCGTAAAGAGGCATTTACTTTACTGCAATTTAAATTCTACAAAGATTTGATTTTTTTAAAAATCATTTAAAAGGTTTATGTTTAAATGTTATAAATACTTACATATGTGTGGGCCCTGATGGAGCATTGCTTACGTATTAGACCTCTCATGGCAAGATCAGCAGTTCTCAATCACCAGCTGCCCCGTAGGCGAATGCCGAGGCTTACTACTCCAGTGCAAGGTTCCAGTCTTGGCAACGCCCCAGGGCAGTTCTTCCCTGACCTCTGGAGTGCTAGGAGTCGGAACGGGCAGTGAGTTTGATGTTTTGGTTTATGTGCATATATATGTATATATCTGTGTTTATCTATCGGTTTAATTCAACGCCCCACCTGCAGATCCTGCTCAAGTTCCAGACCATTGGCCACAGGAAGGGGAGATCAAGATTCATGATCTGTGTGTCAGATATGAAAATAATTTGAAACCTGTCCTTAAACATGTCAAGGCTTATATCAAACCTGGGCAAAAGGTATGCAATC